GAACCTAAAAAGAGTCGAAATTTGCAACATAATTATATCGAAAATGAGAAATTCCAACATATTCTGCATGATTTTTCGCTAGCAATTTTCGCAAAATTTTATTGACCCAGCTGCTTAAATAAGTGAATAAGTGGTTAGCGGCATTTCAGATTAGGCTCGTTTCGCAGTTAATTTTGGCCAGGCAGAGTAATTCGACGAAAGAAACGCTTCAACGGTGAAAAGTGAACACCGGCACCATTCAAACTTTTCGTTTATTCTAAACGGATAGGTGCTGAAGCAATACTTTTTGACACGGTAATCTGAGCTATTAATTCGGCTGTCCTGTTATCCAGCAAAAGTGTTAGGATGAAATGAGCTTAGCGTCCTCTACTTCTGCAAATTAAAACGAGTTCTTCTGTTGTTTTGCTGTTCAAATAGAAAAAATTTAGTAAATTTCTACGACGTTTAAAATTTTTCATTTAATAAGAAGCGCTAAATTAAAATTAATAATCAACTTGTCCCATAAATAATATTCTTCAATCAAATACAGCTTTATAGGCTTGAAAAAAATGAGTTGTATTTTTGAATTCTCATATGCAGTGCATTTACAGATATGGCATATGGCATAAGAAACGCATGAATGATAAGTTTTTTTGTTCATAAAAATCATTAAAACGCATGAATTTGAAAGAACGAGAAATCTCAATTTTCATTTTCCATTTCACGTCCTTTTTTTATGCGAATCGATACTTGGTCAGCCTAATTTGACATCTACTTGTCATGTAGATTTTTGCTGGTGATATTTGAATTTTTGTAAGAAAATCATCAATATGAATCGAAAAAATTTGGTAATGTTAAGATGTTTTTCCAAACGAATCCCATTTTTATTTTAACCAAATAGAAATATTTTGAAAATGAATTAAAATCAGCCAAAACGTATAAACGAAGCCTTTCTCTTCTTTATGTTTCGATCGTTTTCGCGCGATGAACTTTGTCCATTGAATGATGGTGAGGATTTTCTTTTATTTTCGAGTGGATATTCTTCGTTTATTCTTAAATTTCTACCGAGGCGTATGAACGAAGCTTTTCTCTTTCCGTATGGTAGTTGATCGTCTGCGATTGAAGTTCTTCCCAAACGAATGAATGATGCCTTTCGTTTGGTTTCTTCGATCTCTCGTTCATAAAGATTATTATTTAACGATCGACCAAGGCGAATGAAAGAAGCTTTTCTTTTCTGAAGTCGATCTAGGCCGAATAGCGTTTGATATGGACCAAGTTGGTTTGCGGCAATCGCTGATTTTTCCAACGGAATTCCTTCGCAAAATGCGAGACCGAATTGCCATTTACAATGGATTTCACTAACCAGTTTGTGCATATCTTGAAATCCAATTCCCTACAAATTGAGGAAAATCGAAAATAGAAAAAAATCGGAATCGTTCAAAAATATTATAGATAAATAGATTTGATCAGTTCAAATATAATTTGCACGTTGTTTTATCTTTTCCTAAAGGAAGCGATATGAATTATTGAAGTTATTTAAATTATTTTCTTAAATTTTCAAAAGATTCTATCGCAATCTATCGCATTGCATAAAATGAGGAACAGTGCGAAAAAAATGGAGTTTTTCGGATTCTGAGGAATGAGTAAGAAAGAGATATTTGGGAATAATTATAGTGAATATAATATCCCAACATTAGTTAATAAATAATTTTCACAATTTTAATTTTTATAGAGAATCTGTATAGCTTGAAAAAGAAATCTGACATTTTTCGCCAATAGTTTCAAACTATTTTCAAACAAAAGTTTGTTTCACTTCGCTGATTAACAACATTCCCAGTAATGATTTTATTATTAGTCACTTTTTTAAAACAGTTGTTGCAGATTTTATTTCAATTCACTTCATCAGATTTAAATGTCATCTAATTATGACATCAGAAATAATCAAACAAATTTTTTGGAGAACTTTGGAGGAGAAAATGAATAAACAAGTGAAGGAAAAAGGAGGATTTTAATTTCTAGTTCAATCAGTTTCTAAATTGTGTTTGATTGAAATCAATCGGCCGATATGAATATGATATAAATGGATAAATGCATGGTCGTGATGTTATTCATGGCTCGGATTATGCTTAATATTAAATTGTGTAATCTATTTCACCGAAATAGATCACTCAAAAAGCCAAAAAATTTCCACCGTGAAATTTGCAGGACACTTAAAATTAGGGAGAACGATAGCCGAATGGTGTGCTTTCTATAATAATAATCACTGCATTTATTTAGTTTTTAAAACGAGCAAAAAGTATTACTCGTTGGACAGTAAAATGTGTTGACAAGAATTTTTGCTTACTATCCGGGTGATAATCAACGATAGGTTCAAGCACCAACGAGAGTAAGACTTGTCATTAAAAGTGAAATCAGTATGGTGCCTATCTGTGTCTGGGCTTCCCTCACTCTATGTTATATTGTTTCCTACTCCATTCATCCTATTTCGCATTTTTATTTCATTTATATCTGTTTTTGCACCATTTTCTAGGAGTGCCTTTTCTGCAGTATTTCTGAATTTTTTAAAAATAGGTTTCTTCCAATCAGGAATTAACCCGAGCATCGGTGTCGCAAAGTTGAGAGAGTGGTCCACTGAGCTGTTCTATCGCTTTTTGGAATATTTACCTTAATTCCAAACAAATTTCGCGACCGTTTGCAAAATTAAAATAAAAGTGTTAGAAAAACAAATAATTTGCTAGAAATCAAATCAATTCGATTGAGTAATTAATTAAGAAGGAAATAAATAAACCAAAAAAAAATAAACCAACCTGTGAATAAATGATTTTTATGAGAATTAATAAAAACAAAATGCTTTTGTTCGACATAACTAAACTCAATCGAACTCAGACCAATATGAATGACGAAAAATTTATTATTCATGATGCAGAAATTTTCCTATCTCTTTTCATGTTAAAAATAAAATATCTCTTTAGTGCGAAAAAATTTTGCTCTTCTCAAAAAAGCGAAGAAGCTTTTTTATCGAACACTTGTCACTATGAAAAATCTCATGAAACCCAAGAAAAATATGTTGTTCAGGGGTTCAGAAAATTCTCTATAAGAAGGCTTCAATTTAAACAGCAATAAATTCATTTTCTACGATTAATTTAATTTATATCGTTCAGATTTGTTCAAAAAATAAATTAAAAATTAGTTTAATCAATACTAACAAATATATTTTCCTTCAGTTTTAATTTAATTTATCCACCACCAGCAAGATTTTTGATGAATTTTTCATAATCATAGTGAAATGTTGATTTTCAACACTTTTATTCAGAAATTTGCTGTAAATAGCAATAGCGTCTAGTACATATATTAATCAGATTTGCTTGAATCAATGTATAAATCAGCTGTGCAGCTAAACATTTAAGTGGGAAGAAAGCCAGTAAACTGCTAGCCAATGCATAATTACTGCTTATGGAATATTTGAAAATACCTATTCTTTTCTTTTCACTTGGCAACTTCACTTAATTAATTATATTAGTGAAACTCAATATTTTGCCACGTATTAAGGCAAAAAATAAACAAAAAATATTGATAATGTCCAGTCTTTTCAACGCTTAAATTTTTCATTATTTTTTTACATATATTATTTATTGTTATAAATGTGCATTTAATATATATATATATATATATATATAATCGCACAACTTAGCTGACGATTGCAATTATGATAAAATGAGCCATTTGACGCATATACCATTTTTTTATTATTAAATTTATTATCTGTTTTATGCCAAATGATGAAAAAGCTATTGAATTTTATTCAAATGAAAATATGAATTGGAACAAAAAACGGAATGATGGTGGGACTAATATAGATCTTTTAAACCTAAATTGAATCTAATCTTATGTAATTTAAATATTTTAATAATTGATACCTGAATATTAAATTATTGCTTAGTTTGAGGAGTTTTTTTAAATTGAGCTTTCTGCGAGTTAATTGCAAGTAAATATAGTATACCTATTGCTGGATTTGTGAAATCCAGGATTTTTGATAGAATAAACGAATAGATTTGTTCTCTTTTTGTAGTTCGCAATTAAGCAATATCTATTTAAATTAAAAAATAACGCATCAAATATTTTGAAAAAATTTTTCAATATTTCTCATAAAGATTGTTTGATGAAGCGAGAAATTTCAAAATATTTTAAATTAGAAAAAAATATTTACATTTAAATTGTAAGGTTTTCAAAATGAATCTAAATGAATAATTTGATAAAATTAAATCATTTTCTTCCGGATTTCATTGTTTTTTCGTCATCCGAATGCCTTTTTAGTTAAAATGTGAAAAGTATTTTCAGCAAAGGGAGAAAGTCAAGGAAGTAAATAAACATTCTACACATAATTTATTATACTTATCTTTCTTTTGTTTAACATTGCTTCATGTTTGTTGGCATTTCATCAGAGAGTCACTTGCCAACAGATGACTTGCCAGCATCCGATTTGATAATACTTTTTCCTAAAATAGAAACTAAACATATTGAATAATAGTCTAAGTAATGAACCACTTTAGAATTAAATTATCAATAAAAAAAGTATATTGTGAATAAAATTGACAATAAACGCACTGCGCTACTCCCAAACTCCCAAATTTGCTTTTTTAAGTTTTCAAAAATTTAATATAACTTTTCATTTGCAAACCTAATTTATTGATTAATTTTCGGAGAAATACAATAATTCATAGCTGGAACTGGTACTTCACCAATCATATAAAATCAGTGGGATTTTTTAGGCAGTTGAGGAATTACAGTTCGAAAAATTTGTCGAAAAGATGTGAACACTAATTCATCAAATGCGCTTCCATGATGTTGCATTGATAACAACTTTTCCAAATAATTTTCCAAATATTTTATTAGTCAAGAAAAATTTTATAAAATTCTCCTTAATTAATTTTCATAAAGTCAAATCTCCATAGTTATAAAATAGCCTTTTGCAATCCTTTAATTTTCTAATTATATTTCGAAAAACTTATTATTCTCAATTTTCGATATGCCTGAAGTTTTTTATTGAATCTAATTATTTTTATTTATAGGCACAAAGCATGAGATAGAATAGCGGAGGAATAGGTGACCCAGATTGCCGAAGGTAAGTGTTCGGCTTCTACGTTCGACAGCCAATAAAAAGTCTGGAGTGCTGATGACCCGCTACTCCTACTCCTGAATCGCCATACGACTCCCTGGCAGAAATTTTTGCTCGTGCTAATAATAGCTCGCGCTAATAAAATAAATTTATTTTATTTATTTTTATTTGTTTTGTAGTATAAAAATTAAATTTGTTGAAAATTATATTTTAAATCATAAACGAAAGTCCACGTCCATATTGTTGCAATTCGCATGGTCTTGCTATATGGCTACGAATCATGACCCATGAGAGTGGAGGATATTAAGGAGTTATCATATATATATTTTTATATTTAATATATTTAATATATATTAATATATTTCACGGGTACGTCGAGCAGATACATCACAGAGCGTCGCCTTCACTAGTTACAGCACGTTATCCGTCGACCATCGCAACATTTGACACATATTTCGTTACTTACTTTCATACTTGCTAAATCCTGTGACGCCAAAGGGGAGATGAGCAAATCAAGATCTGGTCTGACACCCTCAAAAAAGATTTTGAACGGATAAGTGGAACAGTAATTTATGGACTTTGTCGATGGAAAAAGGAATGGCTTCAGTAATGGCATCGCGCAGCTTGGATTAGAAATGTCTTGCCCTTGTAGGAACCAATGAAAGCTGTTGGAAGAAAAGAAATTATAATTTATAAACATAGGAAAAAGTTAAATCATCTATTCTAATGGTCTTCAGACCTTTTTTCTTCAAAAAATCCTTTAAGACTCGCAAAAATTATTGAGAACCACTTAAGAGTTTTTGTGGACTTGGGTTTACATTTACATTTTTTAATATTTGTTGTATTAAAAATTAAATAGCAAATTTTTGAAAATATCACTACAATACTATTTCTTTGTCCACCTTTCACCACTACTGATTAGGTTCGTTCTACCGATTAGGTTCGTTCTGCTGATCGCATAAAATTTTCCAGAGAGTTATTTGACGATAGAAAAATAAGGGAGTCGTTAGCATCTCCCTAATTTTTAATGAACCGCCAAACCTCAGCATCGATGCTCAGAACTGAATAACAAACAACTGCACCATTCTATCCTCCACTACATTGCATTATTATAGAACTCGGGAACTGCAAGGGTTCCTAATGACATATTTGTCAATTTGTCAATTTGTCAATTTTATCATCAGGTTCATAATATAAAATAACCTTTTGGAATATTGTTGGACAATCTTTTTTGATTCAATTTCTATTGAAGCATCAAATTTTAAAACAAATTATTTGGGACCGTGGAAAACAAATGCCCAGTTATTGAAAGGTTTATTTTGTACAGAATCTCCTCATTTCATATGAATTCCAAGCAAATAGAAGTAATGTCCATAATAAAAAATAACAAGTGTTTATGGTTAATACTCACTGCACTTCCAGTTAAACTAATTCTACAAATTAGTATTGTTAATGATCATAGACTTTTGCCAGGTTATTTCGCCAACTTGGCAATGAAAATTGGTCGCCATATTGGTCGCCAGCAACCTAAATTTTCAATGGCCAATCCCACCTACGACACAAGAGCCGAAATGCAGTCAACGCACTAATTTAGCCTCTTTTCTGTCTTACCCATTAAAAATGAGGTTTAATTAGCCATCACAAAATTCTTAAAGTTTAAAATACGTGCAATTCAAGGTAGAAAATAATTCATCAAAAAGAAAAATATCGTAACATCCATCTATTTTATAAAATAAATTATAAACAATATTATTCTTGAACAGAATAAAAGTCTAAATGTCGATAAAAAATTAAAATTATTCATTCGTAATTTTGCAGTGGAATTTTTAATTATAGTTTTCTATAGTCTATTAATTAATTATAGTCAGTCAGGCAAAACCATTTAAATAAAAATATAAATCAGTGAGTCAAATATGTATATCAGTTGTACAAGTTTAAGTTTACATAGAAATAAAAAATAATCAACTTTAAATAATAATAATCGATTTTACGATGGATTTAAAAATTGCTACTACGATTTTATTTTTTCCAAAGATAAATCATAAGAAACCGCTAAAACCATAAGAAAATGGATAGATTTATAAAATAAAATCATTTTTTCATTTCTTTAAATAAAACTTAAATTATACTTAAATTTATGATTTGACATTATTTTTGCTGCACTCATTTCTCGTTGGCCCCGTTAGTTTTTCGAGCTAGATTAATTTACCATGATAAAAATGCAAGTGGGTCACCAGCTTCATTATCATTATTCTGATAAAAATATATATTGAATTTTAATAAAAATTTTAATAAAATAAAACAAAATTATTTCAAGAAAAAATTTTGACTGAGAATTGCACCATCAAATAATAGGCTCTAGAAAGCACAATAAATTGAAGCTATCATTATTAATTAATAAACATTATTGCTGATTAATTAAATTTTAACTATTTGAAAAATATCGGAATATATCGAGAAATAATTCGAAAACAACATGATGATGTTAGTAATAAGAAGAAGGTCGAATACAAACAAATTGACTTGAGCTAATGTAATTTAAAGTTAGAGTCTTAAGAAAATACTGTAGAATAGGAAGGGAAGTGCTATCAAATATAGGGTATTTGAAATGTTCAAATATTTGACTACAAGCAGTTGAGTGTTAGTATTTGTTGAACGACGTATAAGATGGCTTCACAGATCGGTGCTATTCTATCCGTCAATGCCATCATTGGTAAAATTTTCACGCAACCTAAGGGAAGTTTGGTTAGTATAATCTTTCTTAATATATTCCAAAAATTTTGGTGTTCGCATGATTTTCGGATCGTAAATTGCTTCATGAATTGAATAATCTCTTTGTTTTATAAAGTAATAAAAAGTATTTTAAATAAAAAATTAAAGTATTAAAATAATTAAAATAAAGTATTTAGATTTTTACTTCTAGGCGGAACGATTGAGCTCAACGATAACTGTGTGCATTCTCGCAATAAGTTCAGCCATACTTTTGAGCACTCATGTCCTAGGTGAGCCTATCACTTGTTGGACACCAGCACAATTTACAAAGACATGGTAACTACTTTTTTCGTTTTTTTTATATATCATTCTTTTATCAAAATAAATTTATTTCTTGCGGAATTCAATATTATATAGTATTCAATATTCAATATTAATACAGAATTCGAATTTATTCTTACAGAAAATATGTCTACATCTATTTTCAGGGTGGATTTTGTGAATCAATACTGTTATGTTCATGGAACTTATTTTGTACCATTAGAAGAGGGCCTTGACTATAGTCCCTTGGAGCGTAGAAAATTCCCAATTAATTATTACCAATGGGTAATGAATAAAATTTTCACTATTATTAAAGTTCTTGTTTCGTTATAAAATTTGTTTCGTGATAGATTGACCAGGCCATCATCTGAATTTCATTTTTAATGACAAAATTTACTCTCATGACATTTGCGAATCAAAAAATTATAACATAATAACATCTAAGCGAAAGAGCCATGTTTTTCTGTGATAAAAGTATTAAATCAGGATTAAATGATTTAAAAAGCGAATTTGCAAAATTTGCAATTACTGCTGTTTAAAATCCTTGCAGGTGCCTTACATATTAGCTGCTCAAGCACTTTTGTACTATTTGCCTCGATTCATATGGCGCTGCTTTTGTTCATTCTCAGGTTTTCTTTTAGAAAAATATAACCTCATATAAAATATGGAATCTCTGCAGTAGCAGCGATTTAAATCGGTTTTACCTCAATAATATAAAAGAATATTGCACATTTAAGGATCATAATGTGGGCTACTAAAAAATTGATTTTTATTCAGCAAAACAATTCCAGTTTTAAAATATTCAGTTATTGTCGTCGAATTATGAATTTTAATAGAGCATTTCAGGATACGATCTTATTGAAGCAATACATCAGGTCGAAAACAACTGGCAAGATTTAAAAAGGAATGAGGAAAAATTCAAAGGCATTGTTTAATTTTTATTAAACCCGACCAAATCCTCATATTTATTTATGAATAATGAGAGGAATTCTGCTAAAAAAACGTAAAAAGATTTGTTTATTGTCGCACTCAATAATCTGCATGATTATATAAAATTCAAAAAATTTTTTGAATATAAATAAATATTGAAAGCTTTGCTTTTCTAGGAAATTAACTCTTATTCAGCAAAACAGTTTGCTTTAGAAACCTTTTGTTTCTCATTTTTTTCTATTTTTTTATTGCTATTTTTCTACTTAATTATAAGAAGACCGATCGATTGTAAAAATTTTGCACTAAGCTGAAATGAAATATTTTAATTAAAAACCGAATCAGTTTGCAAGGATAACTCATAAAATCTTATTTCTAATGGTTGAGAATCTGTCATTAAAAATAGAATCTATTTAAAAGAGCCTTGAATATAGAACCTTGAAAGAGGTGCACTTAAGGATTTATCCTCAAGTTACTCACAGAATTTCATTACCCTAGTAGACATTGGGGCTACTGGGGCAACCAGAACCCGTTAGAAGTTAGCACTATGTTTGGCAACCATTCATTAAAAATGCAAAGAAACGAATTTATGGTTTTTAAGAAGCAAATGCGCTTTAAAACTCTATTATTATCAAATATTCATTAATTAGTCATCTCACGAAAAATTTGTTTTGATAAAATTAAAAGAGCAAGTGCAAAGAATTCTCCAAATTTTTTTAAAGGTTTTTTTCGAATAATTAAGGATTAATTGAATAATTCTTCTTTACAAGATAATTCTTCTTCTTTACAAGATAATAATAATTCTATCTCGAATGGTTTTTTGTTATTTGTAAACTTATTTTTTATACTTTTTGTCATTCGAATTTCCTTTCAGCTCGATTGGCGACTTTTGAGAAGCAAAGCGCAATTTTTATATGGGATGGGATACTTTTAGCAAGAAAAAAACGATTACACTATTTGCCATTTTATTATTTTTTGTACATCTTTCTACAAGCCTGCAATTCATGGGTTCAATTTATTTGGCTAAACGCATCGATACAGTCTGCTACATATACACTGTGGGGTCCATCCATTATAAGCGATCTTTTCCATGGTGTCGATTGGCAGGTTTCTTTTTTTTCTATTAAATTTTGAATAAATACTAATCTGTAAACAAAGCCTTGGTCTTGGGCCCACCGAATGAGTGGAGAAACATTCATATATTTCATATATATCCATTGTAAGCCCTTATAAATACTATTTGTTACATAATTTACACTTTTCTTATTTCCAGCTGAACCTTTCTTCATTCATGAACTTACGTAACAAACTATGTAATAATATAAGCATGCAGATAAGCAATAGGAATCATAAAATTTTCATATATATCCATTGTAGACCATTATAGATACTATTTGGGAAAAAATTAATAAGCTCCTAGAAGAAATCCGTAGGGTTCTCCAGCTGGTCATGGAGATCTGCAGCACAAACCAACTGAGAATCTTTCTTCTGTCCATAAGAATGCAAAATGCAAAAAGTTGATTGCTTTCAATTTACATATTTAAAATTTATTTTTGATGTATTTCGATAATTAATAGCCAAATTTAAATTTGATTTTTTAATTTTGAATTTAGATGGATTGAATAATTATTATAATCACTGTTTGCAAGCTTGCAATTTTTTGTAGGTTTCGGGACATTTCCCTCGAATTACTCATTGCGATTTCTCGAGAAGACGACCTGCATCCGTACAGGTTTCATTTTGAACGACCTTTCTAATTTCATGATATTGCTAGATTCATCGCTGAAATTAATTTAAAAGACAAAATTCTCTATTCTATCGGCTCCTAGCAATATACTTCAGTATACAATATAAAATAAATCCACAAAAATTTATATAAAAATATGAGTGATAGTTGAACGAAGCATCATCAATGTGACCTCTCTTCTAATCTTTCATTTGAGGAACATCTGCGTTACTTCACGTAGTTTGCCAATACATTCTTTTGCCATCATTTTTCATAAAAATCCACTTATTGATGTGATAAAAAATGAATTGAATGAACGCAAACTGAATTTTATAAATAAAATTTTGAATTTTTTTCACTTGAATTAAATTTAAATAAAAATAAAATTTGTTATTGCAAACGACTTAGATGATTAGCAAAATTGATGGCGATTAATGTTGGGAACTGTTGGTGAAATTTTACGATTTTTTTGTGATTAAATTTATTATTGTGATCATTTGGCAACACAAAAGTGTAGTTATCATGACAGCTGGAAAGAACTGCAGCTGGATACTGTATTGTGCGTTCTCACTCTGAATATCTACTATGAGAAACTGTTATTATTCCTGTGGTTTTGGATGTTGATTATTGCTATCGTTACTACAGTAAGCTGCATTTCATGGGCGATATCATTTGCTCTAACCGGTTCCACCAAAAGTTATCGATTTTATACTTTAAAAAATTTTATTTTCTTAATAACAAGATTAAGAGCAAGATTAAAAGGGAGGAAAAACAGTGTTAAATTAACAGGACTAAATTAAACGTGTTTTTAAATGAAATGTACTTGAAAAATAATTATCTATCAATTTTATTTCAAATTGACCGCTCTCAAATACAGCCTTAAGCCTTTCTACTGCTTTATGAGAAATTTTTCATTTAGTCCTTAGCGAATTATACTGAGTAGATATTCCTCTAGATGATGCCAGCTACTATGGTTACTTATGGTTACTTAGTTATACCAGCTGCATACCCGATGACTGGCAGAAATACATATTTATAGCA